ATATATATATATATATATATATATATAAAGAAGAAAGATTTAACCCCGACGGGGATTCGAGAGACGAGAGTCGAGAGTCGAGAGTCAACGGAGAAACGACCTCCCGGGGACTTATGAATACAAATAGCCGCTCACTGTGCGATTCATAGATCTCTGATAAAGAGCAAAAGAGCAAAAGAGCAAGAGAGCAAGAGAGCAAAAGAGCCCATATGACTTGTCCAAACTAAAACCACGAACATGAGTAGATCTTTGAGTAGCAGACGCCTCTGAAACATTATTCACTTATATGTACATATAGACAACACTTGGTCACTTTATAAACTATCTCTGACAACTAATAGAACATATCAGGTCTAAAACAAGTTTCGAGACCCGATTATGTATTTTAATCGAGTAATAATTGACAATAAATGTTTCCGACTTCTGTAAAATTTCGATAACACTTACATATTAAATAATGTCTTTAAACTTGTTTTAATAAATACAAATTTATAACTTTAAACTAATAGGCTGTATCTCTATCCCCTTATCCCCCTCCCCCCACCTATCTTCTTATCTACTGATAGACTGTAACACCTTACACAGAAAAATCTACCCGTACCTAGTTGCGCGACATGACAAAAATAAATAATGAAACGGTAAAATAAGAAAACTTTACTATTATTATTGTATCTATACGAATTTTTAAGATTTTTGGTTTATGGTTTATTCGAATCCAAAAATAAAATAGAAAAATTATTGAGATTCAACGAATAAAAAAAAAAAATATATATATATATATATATATATAAGAAGCAGTAGTTACGATATTCCGAGGCAGCTAATTCCAAATTGTAATCTACGGTTACCATCTATGGATTAGCATATAGATAGAGCATCGACGTCACGATGACCATTTTAGTGCATCGGCGTCTCCTGACCCGGAATCAACTTTCAATTCTCTCCTACTCAACAACCAAATTAAATTTAAGTAAATTAAATTAAATTAAATCAATATATATGACATATGACATATAGGATTTGTTTGTACTGTTTGTTATACATATATACATATATATTTAACCGTTTTGGGGATTTGTTTGAGGAGAGTTGATGAGTATAACAGACGAGATTGGGTGTTTGCGCATTTAGTCTGGACCAGGTGAGCTTGGCAGACACCTTAGGATCTAGCTTTAGAGTCGTTAGATATTATATAGTAATAAAAATTTTAAACCAAAACTAATATAAGGATAAGGAAGAATATCATCTCGATGGAAGAGTACAAGTCATATGGTCTTAAGGTAATTTGTGCTCACAGCAGGACTGAGCAAACACGCACGGTTGGGGGTACTTTTAAAAATTAAATAACTCGATGACTGGTCACATTCTCCTACAAAACAGCACATTGCCATGGGTTTGTCTCATTATATTTATTCTGACTGCATAACCGTACAGCGTATATAGGCTATGTAGTTATATAGTGTACCTATCACTGCAAAGTCCAATAAATAAATAAATAAATAAATAATAATAGCTGATACAAAATCAAGTCGAGAGTTTGTCTAAACTAAATCAAATAAATATATGCCACACTTGGTAGAGATATAATAATAATAATAATAATAATAATAATAATAATAATATGGTAAATATAGTGCAGTTATAGGGGAACGGATGTTACCTGCTTGTAACATCGAATGACGTTCGCCCAAGACATATCTTATTATTTTACTAAATTTTATTAATTTTTCTTTTGCGTTATTTATTTATTTTTTTTTCTTTTTTATTTAGCTGTATTATATAAAGAGCTCTAATATAGATATAGGTGCATCAAGGTTTAGAGTGTGTGCTTATATTACGAATGATGGAGAATACAGCGTGAAGAATGAGCAAAGAGTGAAACGTCGGACATCGTTGGTATGGGATCACTGAGAATAAGTAGGAAGATATGTGTATATATATATATATATATATATATATATATATATATATATATATATATTTGAAACAATGATGATCCGCCCGCGTAGTTTCCGCTCGCATAAGCAAATGTTGTCTGCAAAACCATGTGTCGTATCTGAGTTGCTAGTACAATAATATATGTATATATATAAAAAGTAATATATACTAATCGCCTCGGCTCGACCCCTTTTCCTCTGAGCTGAGATTTGACATCAGATAGCATCCAACGAGCATATATAGGAATCCCAACACCCACTCTTTTAAAACAAAAAAAAAAAAACCAAGCTGGCGAGTAAAAAAAAACTTAAACTCGTTTATCTATCACTATATATGAAGAAAAATGTGCCCAGGACATTAGGCTTGCCCGAATAGTCTCTTCTCCATCTCTTGTAGCTTTTCCGCTCATCTATCATCCCACTTAACCGCTACGGAGACACACGTTTCCCTTCTGCATCAATGGACCGCGTTAGTTTCTCTGCACATGTTTCTCTGCTTACAACGCGCGTCTAGTCTCATATACATACGACTATACGACTCTTTGTAATGTAACGTATGTTTGAAAATAGAAAAAAAAAAAAAAATTAGAGAGAAAAAAAACACTCTCAATACTTGTTGTATTATATGTCGTCTGGCTGTTTTTTGTTGGTCCACTATAAAAAATACTGGTATCCACTATGTAACTATGCACCAAATAACAACAACAAAAATAAAAAAATAAATTAAAAAAAAAAAAATCGAGACATAAAGTTCTTAGAGTTGATATGTAGTCGCTACTGTACTGTCTGGTAGTAGACACGCGCATAATTTAGCGAGTACGAGGAGTTGTCGAGGCTGTCGTCGAGTTGAAATCACGCAAGCTGCTTCTCTTAACCCTTCTGTAGTTACCCGTCTCTGGATAGGATGCAAGTACCTATAAGCTGGCAGTGGAACCTCCTCAAGTTATTCTCCTCCTTTGCATATACATTCTGTAAAATTACTTTGTGCGGTTTACACCCTCGCCTTACTTGCTTTACTTGCTTTACTTGCCTTACTTCCCTTGCTCAGCTGAAGCAACCTCTTTGCTTCAACTCAAACTTGAGCGCCACCGAGTGTTATGTTCACTGTGTGCTTTTCAGTATATATATATAATATATATATATATATATATATTACATACCCTACATCCACGGTTACATCAACTCTAACTATATATATATATATGCAAGAGCTAGAGGCCAAAACTATCCAAGTTTGCAGTTTCCTCTACTACTCGTTGCTTGCTACTTGCTGCTCACCTCCTAATGTATGCTGAAACTATACTAAAATTCTAAAGTTTACCGGTAGTACAGCAAGAGAAGAGAAACAAGGATGAGTGAAATGGTACACTCAACACACGACCTTTAGTTTACCCTTTACCCAACACAATCCTCCTATCCCTCAACCCTCATCCTTCATCCCTTTTCTCTCTTCACTCTTTCTACTCTCTATTCTCTACTACTTACTACCTAGTACATACTATACCAATTCCGCCTTGCATCGCCTCGCGACTCGCGAGTACATTGTAGTTTAAACTCTCAAGTTTAGACTCTAGTACTCTAAAGTAAAACTCTCAACACTTATACTTTAGTTTAGACATGCGTGATCTTAATTAGTAAAAGACCCTGGGCGATAATATATACACAACGTTTTTTTATTTGATAATTATTTTACCTATTTAGTGAATTTTTTTAATGCCTAATGAATAAAATCTGTCAAGTATAAATGTTAGTTTATTAAGTAAATATTTTTTTTTTTTTTAAATAATCACCAGTTGCCTAAATCAAAGGTCTAGTCATGATTTGGTTTATGAATAAGTTATTTTCTAAGATAAAGTAAATACGGCACGCGACACTGGCAACTCATTGAGAATGCATAAAGACAGATGACGATAAACATTGTGCATAATAATTATTAGCACCAGAGTAGACTGTATAGTATACCAGACCGCACGGTAAAAGATTACTACAGGATTTCCGGAGAACAGGCGCCGCTTTGTTCATTATAAAATTATAATATTTTTATTTTATTATAAACTTTTTTTAAAAATTAAAATATTAATTGACTTGGTACCTTAAAACCCAGGTGAAAAATTCAATATGTAATATTTAATTTTTAATTAAATTAAAAATTAAAAATTATTATTATTATTATTATTATTATTATTATTATTATTATTAGAGATATTGAAACCCTTATTTGGCTTGGGATTATATCGTTACATATTTTAAGTGAGATAAATATCAAACAGCTTGTCATATTAAAGGATTAGCTTTTATAAAAGTATTGAATTAAAAATTAAAAATACCTTGTCAGAACGTTTCTTAGTTGGAGTTGTTGCACTGTTCGGACGACCGTGGAGATCAGTTTCACTGGCCATGCGATTGAAACGCTGCATTCGTTCTCTAACACTCGGTAACTCAGATGTTCCAAGACTTTCTGGTGGTCCTTGATCTTCCTGTTTAATTTGATTTAAAAATAAAATTATTAAATAAATCAAATAATAATAAAATTAATGTGTTACCTTGATAATTTCCTGTTCATTTTTTCCTTTATTGCTGATATTTTCTTTATTTTCTTTATTTTCTAGCTTAAATTTGTCCTGGCTCTTTCTTCGCGGAGGAACTGGAGGTGAATTTATTATTGGAGAGGTATAGTCCGTATTAATTTCTGATATATTTTGTTGACTTTGTTGATTAGATGCCACAAAATTCGAATTATTTGTAATAGAGCCAAAAATTTGATTGGAAGGATAATTAGGACTACCATCGATGGTGATATTTAAATTAGAGGTACTTGAATTAAAAACTGAATGAGTTGGGGACTTTGAGTATAATTGATCTTGAGTAGCTCGAGTGCTCGACACGTGAGACGGAGATGGGATAATTTCGGAATTGGACGGACTTAGAGGAGCTGGAGGAGGTGGACGGTAAGGCGGAGGATCTCGAAGCGGCGACGTAGGTGTTAAAAAATCAGGGCTCTCTATCTCTAATGATGTGCTTGATGACACATAGGGATACGACGTTACTAAATCATCAACACTGTCAATGTACTTTTTTTTAAGTACTAAATACTTTTCCCCCTAAACAAAAAAATTAATATTATTTAATTTTATATGTTTATTTACCTAAAACTATTAAGCGACAAAACTATTTACCTAAAACTATTAAACTTAATATTTTACAATTAAAATATAAAAACAATCAAATACTGTAAATGCACGGAGAAAAATCTAATACCGTCTTATTACCAAGTATTAAATTATAAAGGCGCAACAAGTCGTGCCGCTCCTGTTTAGTAGTATGTCAGCTCAACATAAACAGTGAAACAGTCACGCTCTTTTAACAAGTATGTATAATGTATATGTATATAATACACAGATAGACACGTACACATTGAAAACTTACCTCTTCATTTTTAATTGTCGCCAAGACATTGACGTATTCCTTGAATTTATTTCTCGCCTCGACTGCAACATAATAATAATAACAATAATATGATAATAAATTTTCACATAACCACTGAAATTAAATTAAATTAAATAAACAATAACCGATAACCAATACTTGTACAAAACATTTAACTTAACACATTGTATATAAACACAAGTAATCGTCTGAGGTCACTAAACATTTATCCATTAAAATATCAAATAAAAAATAATTTTAAGCTATTCGGGACTTACCTCGCGTTTCGGGATCTGTTAAAAAATACTTGAAATGTTTAACTAGATCACGATTGCGAGCAGAACCTCCACTTTCAATTAAATATTTACGTATCTCATCTAACGACAGATTACTGGGGGTCGCCATCTTTACTGAAACTGACCGACACAGGCGCCTCTACCGGCTAAAATATCTTTTAAATTCTCAACCAAAAGTAACGGACATTTTACAAAGGATATATTTCCATTTCCATTAATAAATTACCTGCTAGGTACTGAAATTAAATATAAATATAAATATATTTTTTTTTTTCAAATATTCACGTAAAAAATTTTGAAAATTCATTAATATTTATATTACATATTTTTTACTATTTTTTTTTTTTCAATCCAAGTTTAACTTGGGTGAGTATACAAGTATAACACTATACTATGTATATTATTGGAGTAAGTATGTATGTATATGTATGTACTGATATTGACATTATTGACAATGTCAAGTTCATTAATTCGATCAGACTTTTAATCGTTTTTCAATAAATATAAAAGTAAATACAGTAGATTCATTTATATATGTATATATATATATATATATATATATATATATATATATATATATATATATATATTAAAACTTATTTAACCCATTATACAATGATTAGCGGTAAGCTGTCAATTGAATGAATAATACTCTTGAAATAAGATAATTGAAATTATTATTGGATTGAGTGACGATGACTATAAAATAATAAACAATTGAAAAGATTTTAGTGGATTCTAGTGTTCGTTTGGACAAAAAGGATTTTTCTGTTTTTAAATGGACAGATATTAGTTTAAATATTTATTTGAAATGAAATGGAATGAAGCTAAGCCGAACGGCTATCGGACATGGGAGATAAAATTTTTTTTTTGTTTATTTTCATGTTAAAATAAAATCGAGGAAAGAAAACAAGAAATAAAATATAAAAAGGAATAATAAAATAAATGGTAGATTTATTGAAAGCTTTTTACCGTAAATGATCAAGTGATGAACAACCATCCGGAAAAATCCAATTTATCGTCATGTGTTAATTCTGTTAACATTCGTATTTTTTAATTTTAATTGTTTTTATTATTATTATTATTATTATTATTATTATTATTATTATTATTATTATTATATCTAAGATTTTCTTTTAGGTACATTAATTTGTTTTTGTTAAAACAAAAATTAAAAATTTTTTTAATTTTTATTTTAGATACGTCGAGAGAGCAATTTCAATGTGATGCAGAGGAGACATAATTATAAAATTATGGATATTAATATAACGTAAGTTTCTTATTTTTTAATCATTGTAAAATTTTCATTATCATATTAAGATTAAAATGATTAGAAAAATATTTTTAATTGGAAAATTAGTCGAAAAATTTTAGCAAACATAATACTAAAATAAAATTTTAGACAAGAGATTTTGTTTAATAGAATTTAACTTTTAATGTTTTTGGGGAGTTATTTATTAAAAAATAATAATTTACGAGAATAAAGGAGGAAAAAAAAAGTGTATAATAATTACAAAATATGTTGCTGATCATTTGGATTAGCTCTTTGTAAATCGTGGAGGAATGTCATGAACCCGGTATGCAGTGATCCCCTGAACATTAGCACTGGTGATGTTTTTGCCCAAGAATTCCTCAGCGACATAAAGTCTCGCGTGCACGCTTATATTTTTCTTACTCTTTCACTCTCTCCCTCTATTTATTTTATGTCTAGTAAAAATAAAAGACATTAAATATCTACCTCTAATGGAGAAGCAAAAAGTAAAAAATGTATATTCCATCGGTGGCTTCTTACGTTTAGCAATTTATCAATTTCAATCATGTGAACCCAATAAAATTGATATTAAATATAATAATAAAAGACTAACGTAACATTGAAAAAAAAAAAATAAATAGAAAAAATTTTTTGATTTACTAATTATGTCAGCGTATGAATATTATAAATATGTACCAGTCTTACAGAGCATAGTGCGAATTGCCTCTAAAGTGGAATCTGAGTGCATATCAGTATTGTTTGTCTTTCCCACGAGTCCGCTAAAAAGTATATAGAAAAAAAAAAAAAAAAAAAAAAATAAAAAACATACCTTTACTATTTTATTTGATCTTAAGAGTCTCTGATGGACATTTGTCAGCATATCTTCACAAACTAAATAATTCGCGTAATATGCCTTTTTATTTTCAAGTAAAACTCCATTATACACACGTCTAATTAGCTAATAATTAATTTGTTTTGTCTTTATTATATTTTTATTATACGAAAAACTAATGAATTTAAAATATAAAAATAAAGAAAAAAAATAATATCAGAAACCATAAAAAGAAAAAAAGAAGAATAAAAATGATATAATAATGACGAATGGAGAGCTGTTATATTGAAGCCGCGTTATTTAAAATAATTTTATTAGCGGAGAAACTCGACCTCTATTCTCTAACCCGGGACTAATCGCCGAGAAACCCAATGAGTATCAACGTATATAAGTACGATAAGTACGACGTGTTAGCTTTTTCCTTTTGCATACATATGTGAGTATTATCATCTTATCATAATAAGCTTAATTTTTTTGTTCTTCTCTATGTCTAGGGCCCTGTAGGGTCATCACTGGTGTCCTTTAGAATCCTCTTTAGGGTTCTCTTGAGCTAAAATTTGTTTGTTTTGTCTTAAACGCGTATCCAATCTTAATAGGGAGTAGAGTGGATAGATGGATATGGGATAGGATGGATAGGATGTAGGACATAGGTAAAATCGACGGGTAAGTACCGCGTAAGCGTAAGCAGCAAGTACACGAGGTACGCAGGTCCAACGGGGGCAGGTATTGCATGGCGCCACCTCCAACCTAGAGTAGACTTAGGCCTCGGGCTCGGGTTCGAGTCCCCCTCTCTCTCTTTTTATCTTTCTCTCTCCATCGGTTCTGGGAGCAACCCCATCAGCAGCACTAGCAGCAGCACTAGCAGCAGCAGCAGCAGCAGCAGCAGTCTGGTGGTTCTCTGTCTGGTGTTGGTCGCCCTCTCTTTCCGTACTATACACTACTACTAGTCGACGGCTCGTTGGCTCCGAAAACCCCCACGCACGTTTACCCACTACACCGGCGTTCTCTCTTGCGTTAGCTCTTTGCTCGGTCCTCTCTACTACTTGTATCGTTCCATTTCGCTCGATCGGGAACCAACCGGGTAGGCACTACTTGGCCAAATCCTCTCTCTTTATCTCATTATCTGTTTATCTCACTCCGGAGCATTCGCGATATCGTTTCCGTCTCTTTGTCTTTTGGTCGTCGTCTCTTGTTGTCTCACTCAATGGCCAGCTCTCTGATGCTGGTGTTCCTGCTGCTGGCTGCAACTCGCTGGCTCCACTTACCCAACCTAACCCTCAGGCCTCGGGGCAACTTCATTCCACATTTACTGACCACCACCGTCGGCCGCCCTAGTCGTCGTCGTCGTCGTCGTCATTGTCATCATCCTCCACAGTGCATTACGCTAAATATTATTTAATAATAAAGTGTCTTAATAAATAGTGAATTCAAATATTAATATTAAATAACAATTAAATAGTGTCTCTCTCTCTCTCTCTCTCTCTCTCTCTCTCTATATATATATATATATATATATCTTTTGTTCATCTCCAACAAATATTTGTTTATAATAATTAACTGACAATTTTTTTTTGTTATTATTTATTCATCAAATATAAATATACCTAATATACCAATAACATATAATAATAAAAGTGTCGAAAATCAGTGGATTATTATTCAGTGATAACATGTTAATTAATTGAATTAAATAATTAATAATAATACTGGAATATTTATTATTGTAATATATAGGAGTAAAGTGAATAATAAAAATGGACATGCAAGAGGACTGCTGGGAACACGTGGGGCTCCTTCAGGATGTTTCCGGTTCGGGACAACCAACGCCGCCTGATTTGAATCCCGCGTTTCTTTGTAATCAACAACAAGTGAGTACTCAACGATATTTTTATAATAATAATAATAATAATAATAATATTATTGGTTGGATGGTTGGTTGGTTGGTAGGATATGGTAGATGATTTATTTCTGTATAGTATACCGAATGTAGAATTGAGGAATCGAGAGATGGGAATTAATTTTAGGGAATGGATTGGTGCGTCAACAGACACGGTACCAATTACGTAGTCCCACCGACGGTTCGACGTATGCCATGTACTCGCTTAGGGACATATCGATAAGCGCTAATATTCGAGAGCGTGGAGACTGAATTATCGATTTCGTGAATACGTTATCAGACAGCATGCCAATAATCGTTACTAGTTACTACTATCTAATCCTTCTATTATTTGTTTTAAGCATTTCATTGGTTATATTGTCTATCTTATAAATACAATACTTATAACTACACTCACTGTTTTATAATATCCATTTACATTATTTAAGTTTTATTTATTGTTTAATCATATTTTATAACAATATATTGTTAAAATTTGACAAGTATCAATTGTATATATACAATTGTAAATTTGCGCCTGGATTAATATCAGGGAAAAAAAAAAAAAAACTTGAAACAATGAAACAAAATTACGATATAATAATAACAAAACTAAAACAGGGTGAAAGTATCGGTTTTAAAAACTGGGGCGTTGGTTACGGAGCTGCCCTGTAATCATCATCCCCAAAATTATAGGGATTTAGATGAGCATCCAGCACTACGCTCTGTATTGTTACCATATATACTAGTGCGATATCATGAATGAGCAGAAAGTCAAGAGTATAAAAGATATATACTAAAAAATTAAAAAATAAGAAAGATATCGGTGGCGTAATCGGCAAGCGTTAAGGGCGCGTGCAGCTCTGCAGGCCGTCGGGTATACCGGCTTCTTACTCGCATCACACGCACCTGCTCTCCCTCTTTTTCCTCCTCCTACTCTTTCATAATCTTCTTCTTCTTCTTCTTCTTCTTCACCCTTTTATTATCTCTTTTATTCCCTCTATTACTTCTTTTCCTTTACACTCTATACTTTTATCTTTCATTCATTCACTCACTCACATGCCATTAAAATATAAATTTATTTAAACGTTCGCTATCAACTCTACTCTTTTTTAACTCGATTAATATTTTAGAGAGTTCACCTTAACT